GGAAAGAGGTCAGGTAACACTGCTTCAGTGTAGGTATTACTGGAAGAAAGGCTGTTTTCCTGTGCAACAGTCCTTACTTGAATGTCATGGGAAATTGTTCTGGAGGGTTCAGAGGGACTTTCAAAAACAAGGCACTTCTGGGAGTAGAGCTGCCAAGGTAAGGTCATGCTTGCATATAATCTTTGTAATCTCTGACTCTTTTGCTCTTCAGTCTCTAGAGATCACTGTGTTCTGATCTGCTCCTTGTAATAGCCACTTTGCAGGATTAAGTGAGATAAGGAACAAAGCATAGGCTAAAACTTAAAATAATGGATTTAGAATCTACTGGTTTCCTTGTTCTTTTGACCCTGTCTTGTCCAAAATTACAGATACTGTAGAAAGGAAGCAGCTGTTCTGTGAATAGCAGATTGGTGAATTACTAGCTACTAGTGTAAACAGTCTTCCTCTAGCTAGGAACTTCACAGAGGGCTCTCTTGGCTTTGGATTGATCTTTCTGATATGGCCGTGAGTCACTCCATCTTGACTCTCCCTGGATTGATGTGGCTGGATAAACCATGCTGTGGTCAAACTGTCTTGTTCTCTAGTTGTACCACCATGTAGTAGCAGCTTGTATTTTCAACATGACCTTCCTTTTTCCCAGCAAAAACAGTTGAGAATTTGAAAGGTGGAGAGTAGACAGAAAGATTTAATAATCGTATTTTAGCTAGCTCAGTCAGCAATGTGAAATCAGAGTGTTGGTGTAGAATTGAAGGCATCAGAAGGTACTGGCAGCTGCTGAGGGCAGTGCACATAACAAGTGTCAAATGCCTTCTGGAATTTCCATTCTTTGCATCAATTACGTGAGAACAAAAATAACGCCAGACTGACTATGTGTCCTGTTCTCCCAAGGAGTTTTTATTCGCATGGCCTTATTTACATTGGCATTTTTTCCTCTTCACCATACCTGTACCCCATTCCTTACCCCACACAATCAGTTAAGGGAAAAAAGCATGTGCTGTTGAATAATAGCATTCCAAATCATCACAGACTTTTGCCTGTTCTTGAACTAGTTTGAAACTGCACTGAAAGGATGCATTGTCTGTAATTTTTTTTGTAAATGACGTATCACTTGTAAACTGAAAAAATAAATATTACCTTCAAGTATCTCTCTCTGACATGTATAAGAACAGGCTTTGATCAAAGTGTTCTCTGCAGTGGTGCTCTCTGTGCTTATTCAAGGTTGCTCTGAACTCAGGAAGAACTAATGACTGACTCCCTGACATCTTCTCTCGCTTCAGCCTTTAAGAAAAAAAGAGGAGGAGACATGGAATTAACAAGTCTTAGCTCCAGTTGCTTCCATCACCCACAGAGGTATGATCTTGAAGAGTGGAAGATTATAGGGGAAAAGAAAATCCAGCCAGGAAAGCTGGAGATCTTAGTAGCTGACACCCTGTTGATGTGTATGCAGGTGGATCCCTTTGGTGAAGGATTATTTTTTTTAATGGCTGATATAGTTGATGTTTTGCTTTAAGCCACATGTGCACGTGAACTTCTATAAAAGCTTTCTTTAGTAGGGATTGAGAGCTGAAGTGAAAGAACTATTGCAGCCATTTAAAAAAAACAACACACATACATTGAAATAATGTGGGAAGCTAGTACTGAAGACTTGGATAAACCTGATGTATCCTAGAGACTGAGAAGTTCCTTCTACTCACAGTTGTCTTGCCTCTTAATTCTGATCATGTAAAGTCCCGAGGTAGCCTAAATGGAGCTTAGAAGTTGTGACTTGAATTACTAGGATCTAGTTGCAGATTAAAGGGAAGAGGGAATGAACATATAAGGAGCTGTGCTGTAACTTGTTCTGGAACTACTAAAAGCAGCTTAGATGCAGCCCTGCTCTGCATCTGCTGTGATAATAACACTGCCTAATGCAACAGGCAGTACTGTGTTTTTTGTAATTTCTTTTAAAAATAAACTCTTGCAGGCTGAAATTTTGTAGCAATTTCAGGCTGGTTACTGTTACTGGCTGGTTTTCTGTACTTACAGAGTAGTGGTGCATATGTATAGTATGGATACTTAAAGTGCCTGTTTTCTACCAAGACAGAGATTGAGTATGACCGCTTTAAATATTGTCTACCTGAGAACTGATTGTGTGACTTTTTTCATTGAAACCCCCCAAAATTCACCCTCCCATTTTTATCACTGGAGTGGCTCACAGTGGACTCCTAATGTATCCTACTAAAACAAGGTGCTTAGAAGTTGTACTGACAGATCATAGAGGGCTGAGCACATGTCACTTCTTCCACTGAGTTTGCCAGAGTAGCTGGCTACAGATCTTCATCTGGCATTTGGGATGCCAGGGGAGGAGGGTCCAGTCCAAAGATTCTGTGGTCTGTTGCAGACTGCACTTTGCATTTTTAAAATTAAGTAGTCAGCCCTTGAGAATCCTTCACTAACTTTAATCCGCCAAAGATGGTACTTAGTTCCTGCTCTGCTGCATGTTAAACTAGTAAAGAGAGGGGAGGGAAAGGCAGATGGAGTAGTTTAGAAAAAAGGGATGTATAATAGTTGCTATGATTTAGAAGCTGGAGCCCAGCAATGGCCATCCTGGATGCCAATAGTTGAGCATGTGGGAAGCACTTGCCTAATGCAGGAGACTTGACTCAAATGGTAAATTGTTACATTTTTTATATTTATTTTTCAACAAATAAATCTTCATTTCATTCTGTGCTCTGTGGCTTGTTTCTTAAGAGTTCCAGTACAGTATGTGCACCAAAATGCAGACCAAAAAAAGCCTGCTGGAATAGATCATGCCACTGAGTGGAATGGTGTGACCTGTCTTTTGAAGGGAAAGATGCCTCAGGGTTTAGCTTAGTTTAACCATTAATTTTCCTCTATAAAACACACCTAGCTCATTCCAGAGAAGCCAAAAAAAGAACATTAAAAAAAAAAAAATAGAGAGCAGCTGTGGGAAGAGGAGTATGGCCAAGTGTGGATTAAAAGGTAAGGTGGTTTGGGGGGGAACTAGTGGTTGGATAGAGCAAGACGAAACCTTCTCTCCCTCCCATTTTTCTATTTTGAAGCCTCATTTATCATTTTTGCTCCTGGAAAAATAAAAACCCAAGTGGTAAAGGCTGCACAGCTAGAGTTGTTTTTGGTTTTTTTTTATTCCAAGGAATAAAAAAAGCCATCTACAAATTCTTACCTTTTTACATCAGAACACCAAGGTGTCTTTCTCAGGAAAAAAACCCTAAAGAACAGAAGGCTAAGCTGGTTTTAAAGCAATCTTTAATTATCACTTTGTTAGTCTGTTCAGCAAGCTATGAAGTAAGGGGTGTTCCCGTGCAGCCGTTTCCAGTAGCAACAATGCACTTCAACATGAAGCAGTTCTAGGACGCCTCTTCTGGAAGACGGGGCAGAAACAGTTGATCCGTGCAACAAGTTTTCTAACCCTTTTCACCAACACCCCTCAGCCTTTCAAGTGGAGACTGTAAAGCAGCAGAATTAAAGAAGGTAGCAGTATATAGGGCAAAGGTGTGACATGTGAATGGCTTTAAAGAAACACAGTAACCCAACGACCAGCAATAAGCAGGAATTGCAACAACGAAAATTTAACACATTATCCAGGCATGACACAACCCAAAACCTGTTGCAGTCTTCTCTAGTAGTAATTTTGCATGGCCTCTTCTTGCATTGTGCCTGAATAGTTTGCCTAATAATTTGGCCTGTTTTGCTTGAGTTTTCCAAGTTAAAAGCTGGGCATTCAGGGAGCTTTGTTAAGGCACATAAAACTAAGGACAAAGGTTGAAGATTCACGCTTCCACATTATCTGATAATTCATTGAAAAATTCATAGTACCAAAGCTGACTTCAGAGATTTCCAGAGACAACAAGGCTCCATGTTCTACAAATAAAGCCACCAAAAAGTAATCAAAACACTGTGATGCATGAAAAGCCATGTTAACTACTACTGTGTTGAACTGATTTCACCTCCATCTTCATTTATGCTAGCTGTAAAATACTATAAAATTTTAAGTGTTAGAGAAGATATAAAAGTCGTATTTTAATCAATTTTAGAATTATACCAGCAAGTTGATTTTTTGTGTTTCTTTTTTTTTTTTTTTTTCCTTTTATAAACTGGCACATTTAGCCAATGGATTCTGAAGCAACTAGTAAGGGAATCCTGAAGATGAAAGCAGCAGCCATTGTACCAACTGAACCTTC